ACATGTGAAAGACGTTAAGCTTCTTCTCTTCATGAAATCTTGTTTCCCAGAAACAGATATAACCTGAGGAAGTAAAAGTAATAATACCACAGTGAACAAATACAAGTATCGGCATCAAAATGTACTTAAAGTAGCAAAAATAAAAGTTTCTCATTATGCAGAATAATATATATATATATATATATTATATTATTGATACATTCATGTGTTTTTAATGTCTTTATATAATCTATAATAATACTTCAGCATTGATTAGTTGATTATATTTGATATTAAGAATCTGAATCTGTAAAGTAACTAAAGCTTTCAGATAAAAGTGGAGTAAAAAGTACAACATGTACCTCTGGAAGAGAAGTGGAAAGTAAAAGGAAACACAAAAGTAAAGTACAAGTAACTTAAAAAGTGAAGTACAGTACTAGAAGAAATGTATTTTCCGCCACTACACATCACACATTGTCTGTAGGAGGATGAGGAGTTCTGATGTGATGAAGGAACTGATTCACTGAAATTCATAGACCCTCGTGCAGTTCTGGTCTCCAAATAAACTGCTTTGACGACTCGTGGCCTCTAGATGACGCTGTAGGGCGTGAACACGTTGAGTCAAAGAGTCAATTTGAGAAACGATGGCGGGTTGAGGATGGTTTAAGATGGTTCAGGAGGTTTAGGATGGTTCAGGAGGTTCAGATGGTTTAGGATGGTTTAGGAGGTTTAGGATGGTTTAGGAGGTTTAATATGGTTCAGGAGGTTTAGGATGGTTCAGGAGGTTTAGGATTGTTAGGATGGTTCAGGGGGTTTAATATGGTTTAGGATGGTTTAATATGGTTCAGGAGGTTTAGGATTGTTAGGATGGTTCAGGAGGTTTAATATGGTTCAGGAGGTTTAGGATGGTTCAGGATCGTTGAATATGGTTCAGGAGGTTTAGGATGGTTCAGGAGGTTTAATATGGTTCAGGAGGTTTAGGATGGTTTAATATGGTTCAGGAGGTTTAGGATGGTTCAGGAGGTTTAGGATTGTTAGGATGGTTCAGGAGGTTTAATATGGTTGAGGAGGTTTAGGATGGTTCAGGAGGTTTAATATGGTTCAGGAGGTTTATAATAATAATAATAACAATAATACTTTAATTTTATATAGTGCTTTTCTAAATACCCAAAGGCACTTTACATAGGGCAGAGACAAACAGAACAAACAAAAAAGAAAAAAAAGAAAGACAGAGGAGCAAACAAAACAAACAGAACATTTTGGTAAAAAAAAGAAAACTGGAGAAGCTGTGCGGAATGGGTCATGTAGTGGAGGGTAGGGTACGAACTGCCATTTCGCGGAGAAAAAGGTCTGCGAAATGGCCCTTTTTGAATTATAAGGGAAGTTCCCTTATAACTCAAAAAGGGCCATTTCAAGTACATTTGATTGGGCTCCCATTTCAGCCAAAAATCCCAACCCGAGTGGCCCATTTGTTCTCATTCCTCCCATACAATGTCTACAGTATGCTCTGGGCTAGGAGAATGAAACCTAAGAGGGGGCATACCTGGGAACAGCCAAACAGGTGCTCAAAGTTTCAAGCAAATCGGATGAGTTTGATTTTTGAGCAAAATCAATGCCATTGCCTTACTTTGCCTGAGATGCCAAAATGTCACAATTTGAGGTGCTAGCCCCAATAAACTTGCTGTGTGTGTTGCTATGAAGCCATAGACCCTGTGTATGAAGTTTGGTGGCTTTAGCTCATTTAGATCAAATTGCACCATATGTGGTGTAGATGCTAAAATGGCAAAACCGGGACAATTACTGCCTTTTGGGTTGGGATTTTTGGCTGAAACGAGAGCCCAATCAAACGTAGTTGAAATGGCCCTTTTAGTTATAAGGGAACTGCCATTTCCAAGTCAAAAAGCTCTTTGAAATGGCCCTTTTTGAATTATAAAGGAACTTATAGTCCTTATAACTGAAAAAGGGCCATTTCAACTACAGGTGATGGGCTGACCATGTAGGCCAATCATCCCAACCGATATGACATAAAAGCCACCCATCTCTCCCAAAACATATCTCAAATTGCTTTGGGCTAGGAGGCTGAAACTTATGAGGGGGCATACCTGGAAACAGCCCACCAGGTGTGCAAAGTTTCAATCAAATTTGACTTTTGGGCAAAATCAATGCCATTGCCTTACTTTGCCTGAGATTTCAAAGCATTTGAGTTGGGGCAATCATTTTCATACCAGTGGATCTATACTTTAAGATGATAGTACAGTCCAAATGTCAGCTACCTAGCCTAAAGAGTTGTGGAGATCTTCCAGGTCAAATGTCAGTTTATTTACAACTCAAAAAGTGTCATTCCGACTACATTATAATGAAATTTTCATGTGGCCCAACCATACTGACCAAATGGCAACTTTTGTCCCAAAACATTGTTTCCGTACAATTGAACGCTGATCCAAGATATCTACGTTTGAGGGCGGGATATTGAACGGTTGAGAAGATATGGCAGTTTAAAATGTCAATCCTGAATCCCTCCGAGGTGGCCATGAATCGTCCCTAATCTTGCCATTCGTACCAGCAAATGGCACTTTTCCTCCCAAAAATCCCACCAAATGGCACTTTTCGGCTCATTTGTCCCCACCAAATCGCACTTTTGTCCCTGGAGGTTTGGGCGAAAAAGGGAAATTTAAGGGACATCATTTTGTGGGGCTCCCAAATGTCCCTTTTTGGTCCAAATGTAATTTTCAAATGGCAGTTTTTGTCCCAAACGTCCCTGGGGTTTTGCCCTCTGGTGGCCACAAGCGGTAAAGGGCCAATTGGGAAAACTCTTCCGAAACTTTGGAAAATCATTCCTCAGCGACCGACAGTCCGAAGGGAGCGCCCTTTTCCCAGGTACAACGTGGGCAAGGATCACATGCGCCCTAGGGGTCTCATTATTTTTAAGGGCGCTCCTCATACCCCGTAGGTTTAGCGGAAAATTCACCGATCTGTCCGGCCGGCATAATATAAATGTAGTCGATATCGCCCCTGAGGGATTAAGGCTGGTTCAGGAGGTTTAGGATGGTTCAGGAGGTTGAGGATGGTTCAGGAGGTTTAGGATGGCTCAGGAGGTTGAGGATGGCTCAGGAGGTTTAGGATGGCTCAGAAGGTTGAGGATGGCTCAGGAGGTTTAGGATGGCTCAGGAGGTTGAGGATGGTTCAGGAAGTTGGGGATGGTTCAGGATGTTTAGGATGGTTCAGAATGGTTCAGGCGGTTCAGGTTGGGCGATTGTGGTTTACATAATGGTTTGATCCAGTCCGGAGGAGGTGAAGTGAACTAACAGCTCAGTTATTAAAGTGATTAAAGTGGAGATCAATTTGAGACTCTGGTGTCGAAGCGTTCCTGCTCTTCATCCCGTCAGTTCGGCTCAGTGAACCAATCGCAGCGTCTCGTCTGATTAAAAGCATTTCCTCATCTCAGCTGACAGTTTGTGGATTTAGCTGCAGGTATTTTAATCCAGAGGTCACCGCTGACGGATTAACAGCACACTGTTTTAAATGTGACTTCATGACTAAAGTTTCAAAATAAAGTTGTGCATTTTGTATTTATCCATCAGTAAAGTTATGTTTTATTAATAATCTTGATGTTCCTTAAACCAGGAACCCAGCAGGCTCCAGGATTAGTTTTAATAGTTATACTGTAACATAAAAAATATAACTAAAAACTACGAATCCCAGGGTGCATTTCACTAACAAACAGCTAATCACATAGCTTCATGTTCTGTTGAAGAAAACTACTTCAAACAGACGTTAAACATTCACTTTCATTCATGTGGAGTTTAAAGATGTGGCTCTTAGTCTAGGATCTAGTCTAGGATCCAGTCTATGATCTAGTCTAAGATCCAGTGTAGGACTTTGTCTAGGATCCAGTCTATGATCTAGTCCAGGGGTCGGCAACCTTTACTATCCAAAGAGCCAGTTTGCTCTATTTTCCACCAAATAAAATGTGTCTGGAGCCGCAAAAGCTATTTGATATCACAGCTTATAAAGTTGTATATATAGATATATTATATATACAAAAAACTATAGTTTGTTGTATTTATGAAAATATAGAACAAGAATAAAGACAATTCTTGACATTTTATTGCAATTTTACCTGTTATAACAATATCAAACTCTTATGAAGAGGAGAGTTTGCTGCAGCAGCTGAGGAATCATCTCCAGCGTGACACTTCAGCACATGCTGTGTGCTTGTTCTGGAAGCATACAGTAAGTCAGCATCGTTGGCACTGAAAGCAAATGAAGACGTCCACAAGTTAAACTCTCTATTTTCCTCTGTGACTTTTCTTTTTTTGGATTCATCCATTGATAGTTTACAGAGGGCGTGGGTCTGAAAATCATGATTAGCCACCTGCAGGGAAAAGCGCTTGACAGGGGTAGAGGATTTAACTGCCTGTGGGAATAATTAACATATAAGATTCTGTTCATTCTTGCTTATAAATTATATTCTCTCTGAACACGTTTCTCTTTTTGGAGAACGTCGTGTGAAATAACTTCTTCTATCAGCGCAATTCTCCTGCTCTTCTTTCTATTTCCTCGTCTCAGCCCCGTGTGTCACGTGTGTGTAAATCTCGCTCGAGGCAGGAAACTTGTCAGAATACTCATATTTGATTGGCTGAGCTGCATCACGTGATGTGATTTACAACGCATTGGTCGGTGTGTTTCCTGCACCGCCGAACAAGTGCCGTAACGGCTGGATAAGAGGCGCCGGTTAAAATATAAACTCATTGCTCAATGTGTATAATTCCGAATTATCTATCGGATTTAGGTCCTGGGTCTGGATCCGGTCCGCCAGTTGGGGACCACTGATGTAGACTCAGGGAGCCGCAACGGAGGGGCTGAAGAGCTGCATGCGGCTCGCGAGCCGCAGGTTGCCGACCCCTGATCTAGTCTAACATCCAGTGTAGGACTTAGTCTAGGATCCAATCTAGGATCCAGTCTAGGATCTAGTCTAGGATCTAGTCTAGGACCTTGTGTCCGCGGGAAGACTCTGAACTGTTGTGGTCTTTCAGTCGGACACAGAGTTCTGGGACAAGATGCAGGCCGAGTGGGAGGAACTGGCTCGGAGGAACTGGCTGGAGGATTCTGAGGATCAGGGTCCGGTCCCGCCCACGGTCACACCTGTGGAGAAGGTACGTCCAGAACCTGCTCCAGACCCGGTCCCTGTAACCTTTAAACTATACTTTCTTTCTGCAGCTGTTGTTATGTCTCTAAAGGACGTTCCTGTAGATTCATGTTTGTTGGTGATCGTGGTGATAAATATATCTTATTTAATATATATAAATACAGATAAATGTCTCCGTATTTAAAAACATTCCGTTAACGGTTCACTTCCTGTTTAACTTGCACACTATTTGTCCAGACTGGAGTTATTAATAATGAGAGATTATTACTGTTTGTCAGCATTAATCTGTACTTTAATCCTCTGAACTGCACCAGTAATCCCGCAGTAATCCCGCCTCCTCTCAGGTGTTACATCACCGCGTCGACACGACAGCAGATGTTCAGCTCTTCTTCTTCGTTTCTTCTTCTGCACAAACATTTAGTTTAGTGTAATGTATGTCATTAATATGTGTTATTATAATACTGGACATCTTTAAGAATGCAAACATGATGTTTTTATGAATGTTTTCTTTCATAAAATGTTAAAAACAACACAAAGAAAAAAGACAATAAAAGTGTCTCTGTGATGGAACCATGTGACCTCACACGGGTCAGCCGGTCTGATGTGGTCTGATGTGCTCTGATGTGGTTTTGTCTCGTTCAGGTTTACTTCTTCAGCACTAACAACCCGTACAGAGACTGGCCGAGTGCCTTCGCCGAGGGTGAGGAGAAAGCTCGGGAGGGAGACCTGAACGCCGCCGTCCTGCTGCTGGAGGCCGCCATCCTGCAGGACCCGCAGGACTCTGAGGTCTCGCTGACCGCCAACGATTTATTAACGAGACCGAACTTTAACGTCACTGCAGTGAAGTTAAACTCTTCTTCCTGTGTTTTCAGGCCTGGCAGGTTTTAGGAACGACTCAGGCCGAGAACGAGAACGAACAGGCCGCCATCGTGGCGCTGCAGAGGTCAGACTTCCCGTTTTACGTTTACTTCCCGTTTTACTGTTACTTCCCGTTTTACGTTCACTTCCCGTTTTACAGTTACTTCCCGTTTTACGTTTACTTCCCGTTTTACTGTTACTTCCCGTTTTACAGTTACTTCCCGTTTTGCGTTTACTTCCTGTTTTACGTTTACTTCCCATTTTACTTTTACTTCCTCTTTCAGTTTTGATTTGTTTGAGATGGAAACACAAAATATAAATATCTATCAGATAATCAATATAAATAATAAATATATAATCAATTGTCATAATCAGCTCTGATTACCGATTATTGTTCATTATTGTTTGAATTGTTTTGTTATTGCTTTGTCAAAATTATTATAATTAGCTATTAGGCCTGTAAATACTGAGCTAATGAATTAAACATGTTGTGCTAAAGTGATACCTGTGCTAACCGTTGCTAAGCTAACACATGTCTCACCTGCTGCAGGTGTCTGGAGCTCCGCCCCAACAACCTGCCGGCTCTGATGGCGCTCGCCGTCAGCTTCACTAACAGCGGCGTGCAGCGGGAGGCCTGCGACGCTCTGAGCCGCTGGATCAGCCACAACCCCCGATACAAGCACCTGGTCCTGGACCACAGGAGTCCGCTACGGGGCTCCCCGGCCACGCCTCGCAGGGGCCCCCGCACCTCCACACCGGCCAGGTACGAACACCTGAGGCGACGTTAGATCAGTTTGCTCTAAATACTACATTACCCTCAGCTGCCATCCATCAAGAGCTGTAACATCAGCGCTGTGTGTGTGTGTGTGTGTGTGTGTGTGCGTGCGTGCGTGCGTGCGTGCGTGCGTGCGTGCGTGCGTGCGTGCGTGCGTGCGCCTTCAGGGCTGAGCTGCAGGACGTCCTGCTTCTCTTCCAGGATGCGGCTCTGTTGAATCTGGAATGTGTGGATCCAGACCTGCAGACCGGACTCGGGGTCCTCTTCAACCTCAGTTCCGACTTCAACAGAGCGGTGGAGGCTTTCACTGCAGCGCTGTCCGTCAGACCACAGGTAACACACACACACACACACACACACGCACAGACAAAGACACACACACGGACAAACACACACACATGGACACACACACACACGGACAAACACACACACACACGGACAAACACACACACACACGGACACAAACACACACACACACACACACGGACACACACGGGCACACACACGGACAAACACGGAAACACAGACACACACGCACGGACAAACACACACACACGGACACACACACACACACACACACACACACACACACACACACACACACA